CCCCAAAACCCCAAAACCCCAAAACCCCAAAACCCCTTAACACTAAGTGCTTATGAATTAAGAAATAAGCAATAAATTGTAATTTTTGAAATAAAACAGCAATATTTCAATATAAATGTCTAGTTTCGGCAAAGCAACAAGAGGTAACTCCAATCAGTTATTAATACCAATTATGTAGGCACTAGTTTAGCAAAGCAAACATAGCTGCCTGGCCCAGGTAACTACAATGGCGATCTTAGAAAGGCGACACCAGCCTATAGGTAAATCAATAATGTACTTTACAGTAATTCGATAGTATTGGAAGAGGTATCAGATCATCGTCAAAAGCATTAGATGCTCCAGGACCAGGTTAATACCAAACCATTCAGGTAAATTCAAGCGATATTGTCTTATTCAAAAATTCAACTAATTTTTAGTCTTCTCAAAAAGGCATTACAATGGGAATGAAGACTAGTTTCGGAGGAGCAATGGGAAGTTTAGGTAAAAATGGCCAGAATCCAGGCCCAGGTCAGTATCAGTCTAATTATGAATCAAAGGCAGCTGCTTATACGTTTGGAGTAAAGAATGGCTCAACCCTAGATAATTCAAAGAATATTGGATAGCCAGGACCAGGATAATACAACATTGGAGGAGGCGATCCTTCCTAGAAACATAGCCATAATAATAGCAGAGGTCCAGGTTTTGGCACAGAAAAGAGAGGTATAGGAGGTGTTACTAAGTCTGCAACGGAAATCCCAGGTCCAGGCTAATATAGCTTAGATCACAATAATTTGGGTCCTAAAGTAGGATTTGGAACTTCAACAAGAGATAAGGGTGGTATTAAGAGTGATTCAAGATTTGTTCCAGGTCCTGGATAATACAGTCATGATGACACTTTAGGTAAAAGTGCAGCAAAAGTATCAATGAAATTCAGGCCAAACACTTAAGGAAATCAAAGATCTTTAGACATACCAGGCCCAGGTTAATATAACCCAAATCTCTCAAGTGTGAAGAGTCAAACACCAGGCTCCAAGATTGGAACAGGACAAAGAAACGGCTTAACTAGCAAGGATGGAAATCTTCCAGGACCAGGTCACTTTAGTATTGGCGATGATTGGGGCAATAAGAAAAAGCATGCAGGTTTCGGTTCAAGCAACAGAGGTGCACTAAGTATGTCAAGAGATGGCCCAGGTCCTGGAAACTACAACCCCACTGAAAGAACGCTAAGCACAGCTCCCTAGTATACAATGGGCGGAGGTGGTCAAAGATCAAAAGCTGGTAGAACTGACTAGCCAGGTCCAGGCCAATATAATCCAAAAGTAGATTGCGCAAAAGAAAACTTAGGAGGAGTAAAGATAGGCACAAGCCCAAGAGGCTAAAGGAGAAACAATGATGCTTAGCCAGGTCCAGGCAACTACAATGTAACTGGCAGACTTGGAGGTCCAGCCTATGGAATCGGCTCAGGAAGCAGAAGCAACGCCAAAAAGGAGCAAACCCCTGGTCCAGGACATTATAAATTACCAGTATATGTTGCTTCTTTGCCCAGATACCAGATGCCTGACAAGCCAGAAAATCTCAGATATGTATGAGGATGATTATATGGAGATGATATATTACTTTTCAAGTTTGCATACTTTCAAGAGCAAGCAATTATTTGAACACTTATGTATGGAACTCTACTAATTAAAATTAGAACTTAAATTCTAAGCATATTGTCTTGTATTTATAAAAGTCCTTCTTGATTATATGTTCGTTTAAATTCAAATCTATAATAATCAATTAATAAATAATTTATCGTTAATTTCAAAATGAGTTTTGCGATTCCAAAACGTAAAAGACAAATAACGATCTAAGCAACTTCAGGCTAGCCTAGTCAGCGAGCTACTTCTCAGACCAAAGGGGAGCAGTAAAACTATGGTTTGAACAAGTCTCAGGAAATGAAAAAGGTAAGTTTGATTCATCACTCGCATCAATATATCTGCAAGTAGCATGCTTCAGCAATTATATTAATGCATTGTTGTAGGGGATGACAAAGAACCTACTGGGCTCGACATCGACTAATAATCTAGAGCTAAATCAGCTTCAGACATTCGACGACACCTATCAAAATCCAGTCTAGATAGTATAAGCAAATCTTACTTCAAAGAATGTGGAGTAGATAGTGGGTCAGAAATTACAAAAAGTAATGGATAGGATAGGCTACTTGGAGGATGCGCTTTCAAGAGTGGAGTTGCAGCAGGACTCAATGCGACCTGTGTTTAAGATGATTGAAAGCCAGAACTCTGGTCTTAAAAGCGGAGGAGTCGGAGGTCCAACCAACATCAACTAGATCTCAATCATCTAGAACAACAAGAAGGGATTCAATAATAAGGAAAACGGCAGCAATGCAAGCAGCTTCATTAGCCAAGCCAATGCCACACTACTCGAAAAACTGACTAAAGTTGGAAACATCAACATCCCTAACATCTCCTAGGATTCATCACTGATGATAAATCAGCAGCTTTAGTTCAACCCTTCGCTTTCAAAGGATGACATAGAAAAGATGATAGCCACGCATATCGAGCCAATCAAAGCAGAAAGTTAGAATTTGAACAAGCAGATCAGTGATAACATAGAAAATCTTCTTAACTAGATTGAGAATATCAGACAAGACGTGATGAGGATGCAAGACATCAGCAATGCAAACACTGTCAAACAGCTCTAGCAACAGCAAATGCAACAGTATCAGCAGTTGACTAGCTCACCAAAGCCTAATAATCTTTCTCCAAGAAACAGTAACAATGAATTAGCCTCATTCAAAGCATAATTTGCAGATCAATTGCATTTCTTCAAGTCCAAGCTAGACCTGCTTCTGACTAAAGTTGATTCTATGGATAACTCTTATGACAAACGCATCTCTAATCTAGAAGCTGTGGTAACACCAATTTTAGCCCAGGAAAAATCACTTCAACCTTCCTAGATCTAAAGCTTTATCAATTAAGAGTTCTAAACTCTAATCAATTCACAAGCTATACAGTCACTCATAGATGAGAGAATAAGACAACCACTAGCAGAAAAGGAAAGACAACTGAGTCTTATTGAAAAAGAGATAACTTAGCTAAAGTCAAGAGACTCTAGTTACAACTCAAATGCAAATAAGTCTACAACTCTTACCACTAAGACAAACAATAACTCAATGGTGCAGCTTAATGTTCAAAATAATACATAGATAGTGTAAAATACTACGGCTAACATAACCTAGACACATCAGTAGTAGCAACTTGCCAATGCTATTAAGGTAACTAACTGTGGAGGCATGAATGCTAAACGAAGTGCAAACAGTGTGGGACATTAAAGCAATCACAGTAATGGCAGCAATGGAGCTAGCAATGCTTAAAACCACAACAGCAATAGCTCAGTCTCTCATCAGAAGTTGGCGAATAGCTTCAACACTCACAATTCAAACAATAGCAGTTAGAATGGTCTCAACAACAATGCCAGTTCTCACAGAGATGATACTGGGAAGCAGACTAGCAATAAATGCAAAGACAGTGCAAATCATAATCATAGTAGTACAGGCAAGGACGCAAACTTTATAGCACAGTAGGTTTAATAGCAATAGAAGCAATAAATAAGTTAGCATATTAAGAAAGTACAAGTATTCAATAATGATTTGAGGGAGCACTTGGAAGAGTTAGAATCATACATTTTGAACACATCTGAGACAATAAACGAGCGACTAGAAGACATTCACAGACAGATGGGAGACTTGCACAATGAGATCTATGCCAACATTGACCTAGTTAAGGAGAAGAAGAGACTGAATGCCCCTGACACCAACTAGTTCGTAAAGATTCTGGGTGAAGATGTCAAGCAGTTTATTCAGTGCATGCGAGACGAGATTGAGCAGGTCATACTGTCTATAAATGAAAGAGATGAGAAATGCAAGATAGATATGAATAGGATCGACTCAAAGATTAATCAAAGCGAGTCACTTAAATAGTAGATTCAGCAAATTCCAACGCAGAACAAAACCTCATCACCAACTCGTTATCAGCAGCACTCTCAAAATTCGAATCAGTTCTCTTCAATCGATAGTTTAGGCAGTCTTTTGACTCCTACAGAGAGAAAAGAGATTCAAAAGATAGATGCCTTTAAGGAGCACACTCTGGCTCTCTAGAGACACATGGACAACACTTCGAGTTACTTACAGAAAGAGGTAGTCAGTGTGGATTCTAAGATAGAACAGGCAAAGGGCATACTTTTCAAGGAGCTCAGCATTGATCTCTCAGAACAGGCAGAAGTCAGTGCTAATGCCACTCATCACATTGAAAAGGAGATTCAGGAAGTCGAGGAAGAGTAGTACGAGGATGAGGACGATTTGATAATGCAGCAGTAATAGCAGATGTTATAGAATCAAGAAGACAGAGATGAGGATGATGATATTGACGATTTAGATATGGAGCAAGATGATGGAATCGAGCCCATCGATGAGGAGGATGATGATGAAGGTGTTGAGACTACTGGTGATTACTCTCATGTAGATGAAGTATCTAAGGCTAGACAGTAACAGAATTTCTTAAGATATAGCTAATAATTTAACTCGAATGGCAGCTGTGGAGACCTGTACCCTCAGCAACTTTAACACTAACCTATGTACAATAACCTTATGAGTTAGAAAGCACATTCAAGCGCTAACAATCACCACTCTAATCCTAATGGAAACGGCAGTTATCAGAGGAATAGAGCCATCAGTCAAAGCAACAATAACTAAAACATCCCTCAGAGCAAAGCCTCTAATTCCTTGGCTACTCCTATTAACTAATAAAACAATAACAACATTAATCAGCTGCAATAGCCATTTTACTACCAAAGCAATTCTGTCAACACCAACAGCTCTCCCAGATACTATCCAAATCAGATAGAGGTGTACGACTAAGACCATGAAAACGAAGACGAAGATGGAGAGCATGGCACTCATTAAATGACCCTGCAATAGCAGTTCATGGTTGATGACTATGGCGAAGAACTTGATAATGAGATCATCAATCATGATGCAAGTATCAATAACAACAACAACAATCTAGGTCTGTCGTAGATGCTTAACTCTCACAATAATAACAATAACATTAATCTGAACAGCAATGTGTCAGGGTCGTCGGGACTTGTTCACTATACCAATAACACCAAGGATAGCAGTGCCATTGTCGATGAGAGCGAGCCTCACAGAGCTCAGAAGTCACCTGGACCTGGTCAAAATAATGCTAATAGCCACTCTTAATTTAACAGTCAGTAAATGTTGAGAAGCAGTTCTAAGTCTGGGCTGCCAATGCCAACTAAGAAATATCAAAGCAAATATTGAATTAACCAAAAGCAAATTAATAATTAAAATATTATTTGATTATAGTTATTATTTAATTTACATTAATTTATTTTAGATTAAGATATTGACTTTTATACTTTAATTAAAATCCATGGGGTTTTGGGGTTTTGGGGTTTTGGGG